AAAATAACAACATCAGTTTTATTATAGTCCCCAATCTAAGACAATCCAGCATGTGGGGTCACCTGAAAGGTGGGTTTGTACTCAGGCCAGGGGACAGGGGCATCTGGGCTCCAGCAAGTGAAGAGAACTAGCTGGTCACAGGCCACCCTTTCCATCCCAAAGCAATCCACTTCCGGAGATCAGGACAAGGACTCACAACCGGAGGGCAACCAACATTCGAGATTCTGTTTTCAAAATATTAAACTATGATCACAATCATAATTTTGCCTCCTGCTAACCAAAGATATTTTAAAGGGCCAGGAAGAAGGCTGTCCATCAAGTCATCAAGAACCCTAACAGGTCAAAGCATTGTCCTCTTCCACATCCCAGTCCCCTGGGGACAGAGAGGGCAGGGCTCCGTCTCCCCCAAACAGGCCATCGTGAGAACCGGGGACACCGAGAAACAAAGCCAGGGACTAGCTCAGAAATAGCCACGTCCTGCAGACACAGCCTATCTGAGCTCATGAATGCTGGGATCCCCTTTACTCCCCACCTCCATGGAGAAAATGGGACACAGGGTTTCGAGTTGGAGAAATCTACAGGCAAAAAGCCAAAGACAACATCCACCTAAAGCTGGATTCACTCACAGGGCTGGGCGCTGGGGGCAGAAGAGGGGGGCTGGGTCACAGGAGGACAAAGGATTTCCAAGACAAGGGGGGAGGGGGAGGGCAGGGGTCAGGGGGAAGGGGCTAGGGAGAGAAAAAAAGGGGCCAGAAGAGAAGTGGGGAGGGAAGGGGGGATGAGGGAGGGACCAGCAGGAGAGGCCATGGGGAGGAGACGAGACGGAGGAATGGGAGAAAAATAGGAGAGGGGCGAGGAGGAAGATGGGGGATGGGGCAGGGGGAGAGAGAAGAGGACAGGCAGGAGGAGAGCTAAAAGCAAAAGACCAAATGAGACAGCTGAGTGCCATGAAACGGTTGCTAAGCTGCTGCCCATAAACCCAATAATAATGGTCACGAATACACTAATCCTTGCCCCAAAAAGGGGAGGAAAGGTCAGAAAGAACTGTAAAGCAGGGTTCCCTGGATCAAATTCCACATAAGCATCCTTCCTAATGTATTCTTCACAAAGGAGACCACATCCTCTGGTAACAAGAACCCAGGATCATCATTCTTTTTAAAAAACGAGACAAAGAATCAGTATAATGAGCAGCACTTCCAGACCATGACAGGTCAGAGTCTACTTCAGTAATCACAGCGGCAGCAATGATACATAATCAGCCCGAGAGAGTGGAACAGCCCTTTCGCCATCAAAATTAAGAATTGTATTCCTTGTCTGGGATGTACACTGTGAAGCGATCACTTTCACAGGTTCATTTTCCACAAGAAAAAAAAAAGACAAAGAACTGTAGTTCAATGAAAAACAGTTTGCAAGCATAAGCCGTTGCTACTAAGTCTGCTTCATTGAAAAGAAAAGGTATTTTTACTTCATGGCAGTTCTGAAAAGTATAAGAAAGTAATGAAGTAATTTCTGAAAATCATGTATTATAATATACCATGGTTTTTTTTTTTCCATTTATTTTTATTAGTTGGAGGCTAATTACTTTACATCATTACAGTGGTTTTTGTCATACATTGAAATGAATTAGCCATGGATTTACTATATACCATGTTAATATAGGACTAAGACTATATGATCAGCTCAAGAGATGCAGAAAATGCGTTTCACAGGATTTCAACCAACTTTCATGACAAAACATTCAACAAATGAGAAATAAAAAGAAACTTCTTCAAGATGATAAATAGCACCTATGAAAAACTTACAGATAATATCAGACTTAACTGGGAAAGTGACTGTTTTCCCATATGATCACTTGCTGAACATTATCCTGCAGGTTCTAGTCAAAGAAAGTAGGCAAGAAACCTACTTGCCGGCTGGGCAACCTCTAACTGGTTTCCATAGTATACCTCCGCTGGTTTACTATATACTACACTATACTACACTATACCATACTATACCATACACCTCCTGCTGGTATACCCGTCACTGGGAGGACAAAATGCTATAATCCACGTAAACACTTGATAAATGTTCTCCATTGTTATCATTAACATAGAAGAGAAAGGTTAGTCCAGATCAGTTCAGCCGCTCAGTCGTGTCTGACCCTTTGTTGACCCCGTGGACTGCAGCATGCCAGGCTTCCCTGTCCATCACCAACACCCGGAGCTTGCTCAAACTCATGTCCATTGAGTCGGTGATCACATCCAACCATCTCATCCTCTGTAATCGCCTTCTCCTCCTGCCTTCAATCTTTCCCAGCATCAGGCTCTCTTCTAATGAGTCAGCTCTCCGCATGAGGTGGCCAAAGTATTGGAGTTTCAGCTTCAGCAACTGTCCTTCCAGTGAATATTCAGAATTGATTACCTTTAGGATTGACTGGTTTGACCTCCTTGGTGTCCAAGGGACTCTCAAATGTCTCCTCCACCACAGTTCAAAGGCATCAATCCTTCTGTGCTCAGCCTTTTTTATTGTCCCGCTCTCATATCCATACATGACTACTGGAAAAACCACAGCTTTGACTATAGAGACCTTTGTAGGCAAAGCAATGTCTCCGCTTTTTAATACGCTATCTAGGTTTGTCATAACTTTTCTTCCAAAGAGCAAGCATCTTTTAATTTCATGGCTGCAGTCACCATCTGCAGTGATTTTGGAACCCAAGAAAATAAAGTCTGCCACTGTTAGAGCCCAACTTTGGAAACTGAAAGAGATTATCTAGATCGTGCTTGGGTTGGTTCCTCTAGGACACTCGCCCAACACAGATCATGCTGCTTCCTCCGCCTGAAGGGTCTTGGTCCCTCCGTTTGGCTGGGTACTTCTCTAGCTCTCAGGGCCTCAGGGGAGTCTTCTCAAACTCCCTAAGCCAAAAGATCCTATGACAGCCTTCCAAGCACAGTGGCCTCTTGGTCACAGTTACAACTTTACATTTGTTTGTGAAACTGCATTATGTTCATCTACAAAACCATACTATAAATTCCAGGGGGCAGGACTATGTGCCCACACACCATCCCCAGCAACCATTCACTCAACAAAAACACTGTGCCAGTTATCTAGAATAAACTTTACTTAAAACCAACTGAGTATGGAATTTAATCACATTTACAAAATACCTTCAGAATAACAGCTAGATGACTGATTGCATAACTGAGGACTATAGCCTGGCCAAGTCGACACATTGAACTGTCAACTGAAAAAATAGTCACAACTGAAAAGTTTATTTGGTGGGAACCTTTAGGACTTCAAGCCCAGGAAACAGCATCTCAAGTGATGCTGGGAGAACTGCTGTGAGGAGGCAAGGGGAGGAGCCAGGTTGTATAGAAGTTTGTAACAAAGGGCAAGTAGTCTGAACATCAAAAGTATTTTTGTGAATTAAAGAAAACAAGATATCTCAAGTTAAGGAATTTAGCGCCTTTCTATGTATGGGAAGATGCAAGAATCTGGGGTCACTGAAATCATTTCTTTAATAAGCATCTGAGCTCTCTGGGGCTGGTTATCCTGTATTGGCCTTCAATGCTCATTGAAGGGAGTGGCTGCAGTCTAAGGGCTGCTGGGTTGCAGGTGTTGGTCTCCTTCCTGGTTGCCCTGGAGGGCTGGAATTGCTGATGACACTGACATCTTTGTTTATTTATATAGCAGGAAATACTCCATTTCTCAGAATTGACTATCACATCCCCTAAGATCAGAAACAAGGCAAGTAAGTCCCCTTTAACACAGTGCTGGAAATTCTAGCCACGGCAATAAGGCAGGAAATGGAAATGAAAGGCCTATGGATAGAATAGGAAAAATAAAACTGTCTCTATTTGAAAAAATAAACACAAAACACTGTGCCAAGCACTCTGCTAGGTTAGGTCCTCAGCATTCCCAGTGCACATCATATAGGAGGTCTCTGACTTCCAGCAGCTTCCATTCTATTTAGGGGAAAGGCTGAAAACAGAACCCATAAACCAGTAAGACTGTAAAAGAGAATCAGCCCCCAAAATGGGCATGCTGTAAGTATCTGTTCAACAAAAGAAAGACAAAGAACCTTCTTTAATCAGTTACTTGACTCTGAAAACTATCAAAGCAGCTTCCGCTTGTATCCGAGCACAACAGCACAGCTCTGCTCCACGGTTCCGCGAGGCTATCAACTCTGCTCTGCCAGGTTCACTTCAAAGGAGCTTCAATTCCCCCAGAAGGTTAAAAGTCACTTCAATAGCCAGAGATAGATCTGTTCTGAAAGTGAGGAGACACTGCTTCTGATTCTCAGAACCAGAAACACATCCATTTTTCCCAGTTGTGCCATGAGTCAGAGCAGCCTCAGCTATCTCATGACCCAGGAATTCTGTTACACAGCTCTGGTGATTACAACTTGTGATTTTAAAAGGTTCACGAACGTGCGATAAAAGCACAGGGAGGCTGCACAGAGGGTTGGCTCCTTTAAGGCTGGCTCCTATTTCCAAGCCCACGCCCTTCTATCACCTGGCAGAGGGGCAGAGCAGATGAGAACTAACCACATTAAGATTGAAAAGCTCACTCTTGCTCTGCAGTCATTCAGTAATATTTACTGAGCACTGATTTTCTGCCAGGCACTATTATGTGCTCCTGTGTGCTCACTCAGTCGTGTCCAACTCTTTGCGACCCCATGGACTATATATAGCCCACCAGGCTCCTCTGTCCATGGGATTTCCCAGCCAAGAATACTGGAGTGGGTTGCCATTTCCTTCTCCAGGGGATCTTCCCGACCCAGGGATTGAACCCAAGTCTCCTGCACTGGCAGGCAGATTCTCTACCACTGTGCCACGTGGAAGCCCTCTATGCCTTCCTAGTACTGGGAATATAGCAGAAAATGAATCCAACAAAAAGGCCTGTCCTCATGGAACTGGAGATCTATAAGGAGTAATTATCTCAACAAGCTCTCTTCCCTATACTACACAGACAAGAACGGCCCTTTGGGTCAAGAGCTGAATGCCAGGTCAGATGTCTGTATGCCCTCCACTGTCCAAGTGAAGCCTCTCAACGATCCTCTTTACCCTCACGGGGCCACAGACAAAAATATCAGCGGTGAGAGGCCACTGGGAAAAAAAAAACTGCTGATACAGATGGGTAACGTGGTGTCAAGAAAGGTTTCCGAGGCCAACCTCAGGCCAGAACGAAAAGGTGAGTGGAATCAGCCAGGCTGCCAGATCAGGGTGTGCAGGGATGGGGGAGGGGTGCTCTTCAGCACCTGTAACAGCAGAGGCTAAGTCCTGGAGGAGAAAGAAAGCACAGCTCAATTAGGGAGCTGAAAAAGCTCTGGATGGCTTCAGCAAGGGAAGGGGGGCAGCAGTCACTTTGGCCCCATGGGGAGTTCCCAATCGGTTTTAAGCTGGGGAATGATGGTATTCAATTTGCACTTGAGAAAGGTCACTTTAGCAGCAGAAAATATTGGGGCAGTGGAGCCCAGCAGGGCATTCAGGAAGATCTGCGAGTTGACTGCCTGGAAGTGGGGGAATGACAGAAATGTTGAGTCAGGAAAAGGTCCAAGTTCCTGCTTGAGTAGCTGGAAACAGCGGTCCATATGAACAGTAAGACCCTTTCTTTGCTGGGGAGGAGGCTGGGGCGAGGGAGAGTATGTGGTGGTGTTCATGCATCTTGAAACGGAGGTGAGCAGGGGGCAAGCAGGTAGGTAAAAGGGTACAGCGCTGGAGAAAAGATTTGGGTAGTGGCGGCAGCCGAGGCCATAGGCATGGTGGCGTTCGGGGCAGAGCGCAAGGCAAGGTGCTCACCTGAGGTGACGCTCCACCACTCAAAGGCTACTTGGGGACAGAGGAGGCTGCAGGCTGCCAAGGCAGCATGGTGGAAAGAGGAGGAGGGAGGCCATGAGGGTGTAGCTTTCCAGAAGACAAGGGGAAAGAGAATTTCACATGCAGGTAATTTTAGTCTGTGCTGTCAAAGGCCAAGGACGCCAGGAGTGGAAGGTGTGTGCTGGATTTGGCACCAAATTCACTGTGCTTGGCACCAAATTCGCTGTGCTGGTGGTGGAATCATGGGCTTGGGTGCTTGAGAACAGTAGGGCCAGGGACAGGAGGAAAGGACGGTTCAGTGAGACTGGCAGCAAAGAAGAGGAAAGAACTAAGGCTGGAGGGAAAACGGGCTCGAGAAAGACAGCAGAGTATGGTACAGGATAGTGGGTGGGGTCCACGGATAAGATGAAGCTCTCCTAAGAAACAGAAAGGAGGGCAAATCGTCAAGAACCAGCCCTGAGCAGGTGGGAGAAGGTGGGGTCCAACAATAGGGTGCAGATCAGCCTGGGGATCTTTCCCTCACTTGACAGAACAGAGAACAAGAGATGGGCACTCCCATAGCTGGGCATATGAAAGCTGGAAGGCAGCTAGTTGCCTGCTTCAGCTCACTCGATTAAGAGGACCTACTAAAAGCAAGCAGTCAGGTGTTTGAGAAAGACATGGGAAGTCTAGAATAGTCACTGTGGCAAAAGATAGAGCAAGAAGCCCAAGGAAACACAAGGGGACCACTAAGCAGAAGCCATGCCCCATCTGAAGGTGCTTTACAGAGTGACAGGTGATTATATAATTTCTCCAGTCATCCCCAAGAGAGACGGGCACAGTTCTGCCAGGTGACACCAAGGAAGGGCAGCGGGTACTCGGTGATGACAAGCTGGGGTGGAAGAGAAGCCAGGACCATGGACGGGGCAAGGAATGCGGGCAAAAGACTGGAAGGACTGAAGTTCAAAGAGCAGAGAGGTCACACTTGGGATATCAGAGGTGGAACACGTAACCCCAGGAGATGACATAGTCTGGCTGTGACCGGGAAAGTGGGTGAAGCAGGGTGGAGAAGTCACTGCTGGAGGGGAGATGGGCAAGGTGCGAGGTGAGTCATCAGAACCCAGAATGATTCAGAAGTCAGCCAGGGCAAGATGCGTGTGTGTGTGTGTGTGTGTGTGTGCTCAGTAGCCGACTACAGTCCGCCAGGTTCCTCTGTCCATGGGATTTCCCAGGCAAGAATACTGGAGTGGGTTGCCATTTCCTCCTCCAAGGGATCTTCCCAACCTAGGGATCGAACCCACGTCTCTGGTGTCTCCTGCACTGCAGGAGGATTCTTTACATCTGAGCCACCTGTTCCACCCCTGGGGGAAAATGACCTTATATCAAATGCTTAAGTCTTCCCTGGTAGAGCCAGAGAGGCTTGGAGCAGAAGGAGGAAGAAGGGAATAACAATACACTGAAATTCACCAGCCCCAAAGGAACAGGCTCAGAGCTCCTTCACTAAATGCCTACCACATGCTGCCAAACCAGCAAGAATAAGGCAAACCTTTCTATGCATCACCATCTTTACCCCACAATCACACTACACAGTCTTATTCTACAGATGGAAAAATAGAGGCTCACTGGCTAAGAATTCGCCTAAGGTCACAGAGTCTGAACATGCTGGACCCAGAATATGAGGTTCTGACTTCTGAACATCACATCGGCTGGGCCTCATCACATTCACAGACAGACAGGGTAGATTGTATTATTTATGCCCCAGCAATCACTTATGCCCCTTCCAGGGCCCTCTAATTGTGCCTCACACCATCTTCAAGGACGAGGGGTCAGGGGCCACCCGCTGGTGGCTAATAAGCAGCCAGCTGTCTTCCTCAAAGGCTCAGTGTACTGGCTGAGATGCGAGGCCACAGTAATTACCCAGAGCCCATTAAAAAGAGCCCAGAATGGGATGTGCTAACAGCTCCAGTATAAACACATTAAAATATCAGTTTTTAAGGAAACACTAGTCTGGAATTGATATTCCTAAAAGAGCTAACTTTATCCTACTCAACAAGAAAAACCCCTTCCTTCTCACACTTCCAAACAAAGCAGCCGGTGATTTAATTCCCTGACAGTGAAGTTTCATTTTTAGAAGGACAGCAGCCTACTACACTTGTTTTAGAGAGGTAAAAAATATTGGTGTCATAGTCTCTGAGTGATTAAAAAAAAAACAAAAAAACTCTTCCAGAAGGCAGCATGCCTTTCTGTCCTCAAATACTTCAGATTCCAGGAGAATGTGCCCTCCAAAGTCTTTACCCACAACCTCAGCTCTGACCCACTTGAAGCATCAGCACCTGCTTTACCAGGGAAGCTGTTAAGTATTCTTAGCTCAGACCCACCAAGGCTGTGCGTGGACCAGCCGAGTCCCCTCGCTTCTCAGGGGCTATGGTCGTGTTCGGTTTCTCTCCGTGCCACGCCTGAAGGCCAGTCTTGCAGAGAAGGAAATAATCTCAGACTGCTGAGGTGAGCGACAGTGATAATGATAAACCCTGGATCAGCTGTTTAATCTTTTTAATCCCCCTGGTCCCTGAAATTCTGATCCTCCCTGGGGGGAAAATGCTATCATCCACATCCATCATAAGGAAATTGGAAATGCACCTCAGAAAGCCTCACTCTAGTATATGAGAGAAACATTTTTAAAACAGTCAATTTCCCAGTGCCAATGGCAGCAACATGTCTGGACCTAGAGATTATCATACTAAGTGAAGTAAGTCAGACAGAGAAAGATAAATGCCAGAGGTATCACTTATATGCAGAATCTAAAAATGATACAAACTTATTTTAAAAAGACTCATTACAAAAAAAAAAACAGATTCATAGACATAGGGAACAAACTTTCCCAAGAGGAAAGAGTCAGGGGAGGGATAAGTTAGTTTGGGATTAGCAGATATATACTACTAGATATAAAATGTATAAACAACAAGATCCCACTGTATAGCAGAGGGAACTGTATTCAATATATTGTTAAAGACTGAAATGGAAAAGAATTTGAAAAAGAATCTATATATTACATATATATATATATAAAATTGAGTCACTTTGCTGGACATCAGAAACTAACACAATATTATAAATCAACTATACTTCAATTAAAAAAACACGAAAAATAAAACAGCAAATTCCAAGAGGGCACTCTTTCCAGACACAGGTTAAACAAATGTGCATATGTATACTGAGACAAGACTATCAAACCTTTAAAGAACCTTTCTAACTTTTTCAATTTTGAAAATCCAAACTCCTAAGGTTAATAGCTGATGATAATCAGCTGTTACTGACACTGTGCTCTGAGGGAAACTGCTCCTCTTTCTCTGTCATCTGTTCATGTGCTTTCTTCACGCTCATTGATCTGGGATGAAGTCTGAGATGTACATTCTGACTCCTGCCGCGAAGACTCATTTCTCAAACATAAAAGAAAACAGCACTCTCGTCCTCCCTCTTTAGCTCCCACTTGAGATGAGGACACCTCCGCTCACTTCTGTGGTGTCGGGAAAGCTTATACCCCGGTGTCCCTACCAAATACTTGACTAACAAATTACACACAACCATTTTCAACACCAGGAGTTTTTAATTGTGTAAATGCTTTAAGAAGTTAAAACAAACAAAAAAAAGAAGTTAAAACAATCCCACTTAGAATACATGTAAGACGGAAGCCATCACACTAGACCGTCCTTGCTCACGGCGCCCCTCACCATCGGCCAGCTATCCCACACTGCCAGCCCCGGGGCCACATCACACCCCTCCGCTTCTCCGGAGCTGCCACCACTCTCAGGGGGCCTGCACCAACCTCTCCTGTCTCCCTGCTGTCACTCCTGCCCCCAAGCTCTGGCTCTCCACACAGCAGCCAGGGGATCCCTGAAAGAAGCCCATCAATTCACACGTGCATGCCAAGTTGCCTCAGTTGTGTCCGACTCTTTGTGACCCTAAGGACTGTAGCCCACCAGGCTCCTCTGTCCATGTGATTCTCCAGGCAAGAATACTGGAGTGGGTTGCCATGCGCTCCTCCAGGGGATCCTTCCAACCTAGGAACTGAACCGGTATCTCTTTCGTCTCCTGCATCTTCAGGCAGGTTCTTTACCACTAGCGCCACCCCAGCAACTTCCTTCCAATCAAATTTGGCTTAAAATTTCAATTTCTGACCAGGGCCCGGAAGGCCAGTGGACTGCAGGCCTGCCCTGACCACCTACTTATCTGTGTCCACTTGCCCCAAGGAGGTCCTACCCCCCAGCCTTTCTGCAGAGGCCTGGGCACTTGCATTCTGCCCTGCTTGGGACTCTGTGTCTCTGTATTTTCCCACAGTTCAATCCCCTCCCTGCACTATTAGTGGGTCTCTGCTCATCACCTCTGCTCCCTACCTGG